TATTATTATTATTTGTATCCTGCTTTTTCTCTCCAAAAGAGAGACTCAAAGCAGCATACATTAACACCTATATGATACCATTTAAATGTTAGCTATGCAGATGCAGGCATGTAGCCAGGGGGGGCTTCAGCCCCCCCCCCAGAAATTGTCATGGTGGTCCTCGAGAAGGCCTTACTGGTACATTATTTAAACTGTTATGTTTATTCATATCATGATCTGATCACCATGCTCAATATATCCCATATGCATGGGGGTATTGGGGTAATGATACAAAAGATTTGCTAGGGTAGACCCTCTTTCACTCAGACTCAGCCCCCCCCCCGAATCAAACTCAGCCCCCCCCCCCGAATCAAAATCCTGGCTACAGGCCTGTGCAGATGATACCACTTTGATGGCCGAAATTGAGGAGGGGCTGAGGAGCCTTCTAATCAAGGTGAAAGAAGAAAGCGCAAAAGCTGGGTTGCAGCTAAACATAAAAAACCAAGATTATGGCAACAAGAATGATTGACAACTGGGAAATAGAGGGAGAAAACATGTGGAGGCAGTGACAGACTTTGTATTTCTAGGTGCAAAGATTACTGCAGATGCAGACTGTGGCCGGAAATCAGAAGACGCTTCCTTCTTGGGAGGAGAGCAATGACCAGTCTCGATAAAATAGTGACATCACACTGGCAACAAAGATCCGCATAATTAAAGCAATGGTATTCCCCATCTTCACTGGATGTGAGAGCTGGACCATGGGGAAGGCTGAGCGAAGGAAGTAGATGCTTTTGAACTATCTGATGGAAAGTGCTGAGAGTGCCTTGGACTGCCAGAAGATCCAACCAGTCCATACTTCAGGAAATAAAGCCTGACTGCTCATTGGAGGGAAGATGAAGTACTTTGGCCACATCATGAGAAGAAAGGAAAGCTTAGAGAAGACAATGATGCTGGGGAAAATGGAAGGAAAAAGGAAGAGGGGCCGACCAAGGGCAAGATGGATGGATGGCATCCTTGAAGTGACTGGACTGACCTTGAAGGAGCTGGGTGGTACGGCTGACAGGGAGCTCTGGCGTGGGCTGGTTCATGAGGTCACGAAGAGTCGGAAGCAACTGAATGAATGAACAACAACAAAAACCATTTAAAGCCCGAAAAACATACCAACATTAACATAGAATTAAATATCAATGATATTAATAATAAACAGTTAAAATCCTTTAAACTGATGAAAAATGGAATCATTAATTTTTAATCAAATAATTTATTAAGCAAAACCACTCCAGAAACTTACCAGCCATTATTCGTTGCTTTAAGAATAGTACATTAGTTGTATAATACTATGTTTTATTCTTTTTGAAAAAAGTAAATGATGCACAATTCTGCCTCAGACAGGGTTGCATCATATGGTTAAGTCAACAGGAAGCACCCAACAGTATTTATCTTCAGACTCTCCATACAATAACTGCTTGAAACGTTTCTCTTCTTTTTCACAATCTCTCTAAAAAAATCACTCAAAGGCTGGAAGTTCCTTGTGAGCAGCACGAGTTATATAACTGATATTCAGTGAGAATGCAGAATAATTCAAACCCAGGTAGAAAAATCTTACATCCACCAAAATCGATGCCTTTATATACATGAGAAAATTGGACTTATAAGAGTGGACATATAAAAAGAGATATGGATGGAAAACAGACAGTGCCATCTGCATCTCCAGATCATTCAAGGCTATTCCTAGACTAGTTAACAGTTGCTAAAGGAAGCAGTTTATCTGTGGTGAACTTTCAGAAAGAAAACAATCAATCGATGTTAGGATACGTTTGAACCTGAAACGAATTCCCAGTTTTTTCCCACAGGACTAGCTCCTCCCATAAAGAAAGTGAAAAATTATGACAAATTCGAGCAGGGTGACTGACTTTGGTTTTAGACAAGATGACAGAGGGGTACTTTTAAAATGCTTTACAAAGCCTCGCAGAAAGATCTCAAAATGCTTCCAGGTCCAAAATTCCCAAGGGAATACAATTTGTGCCAAAAGAAAGTGTGTACCCACATGCATGTATGAATTTAGTCACAAGAAGGCTAGAGAAACTGTGTTATCAAAATATGTATCTTCACCATATGCTCTTTTAGCAGGCGAGTTCATCTTTTGCATTGACTGATTGATATTTAGAGACAAGATTTTAGAAATGGGTTTAGATTGGATATTGTACTGTTAAATGATAGTGGAAAAGATAATTTAACTTTGAGAAGAATTTCTCCCACCAAAAGATCTCAACAACACTGAGTTTCTTTCTTGTTTATACTTCTCTTTGCATTCAGTTTCCTGAATGCAAGCTAAAAATTATAGACTTTTCTTTTTAGGAAACTGATGGAATAAATGATGAGCTGAGTTTTGATCTCCGAAGATGTGAGAAGCCTTTATCCTGCTTTGAGAGACTTAAGCAAAATTTGAATGCAACCTATGTTCCTTTACATAGAGAGACCTGCTGTCTTTTGTTGCCTTGTAATCCATTAACAAATGACTATGTTGGTTGATTACATTAAAAAGCCAGTGTGAAAAAAAACAATAAAGGGGTTGAGAAAACTGCAAGTCGCTTCTGGTGTGAGAGAATTAGCCATTTGCAAGTACGTTGCTAGGGGGCACCCAGATGTTTTGATGTGTTACCATCCTTGTGGGAGACTTCTCTCAAGTCCCTGCATAAGGAGCTGGATCTGTTATAGGGAGCTCATCCGCACTCTCCCTGGATTCAAACCTGTGACCTGTCAGTCTTAAGTCCTGCTGGCACAGGGGTTTAACCCACTGCACCACCGGGGGCTCCAACAATAAAGGTAGACTTTTCACTATAACAAAATACAAGTTGCAAAGCGTTATCAAAACAGAACTGTGTTAACATAAAGCGTGTAAATACACTGCACATGAATCACAAAACAAAACTGAATGTTACTTAGTTATCTTGTAGTCCTTGAGACAGTAAATTATCTTCAAATACTGTCCAAATTAAGTCCAAATGGTATCCATGAATCACAAAACAAAACTGAATGTTACTTAGTTATCTTGTAGTCCTTGAGACAGTAAATTATCTTCAAATACTGTCCAAATTAAGTCCAAATGGTATCCAGTTCAAAATATAATCCAAATGATGATACGACAAGGATCCCCGGGTTGAGGTTGCCTTGTTTCGGGGGACTTCCCCTTCTTCAGGGTTTGTCTTCTTTATGAAGGTTGCTAGCGTCATCTCATTTATAGCGGATGTATGGTGTGAACCACCCACTTTCATAAAGAAGACAAACCCTGAAGAAGGGGAAGTCCCCCGAAACAAGGCAACCTCAACCCGGGGATCCTTGTCGTATCATCATTTGGATTACATTTTGAACTGGATACCATTTGGACTTAATTTGGACAGTATTTGAAGATAATTTACTGTCTCAAGGACTACAAGATAACTAAGTAACATTCAGTTTTGTTTTGTGATTCATGTGCAGTGTATTTACACGCTTTATGGTAACACAGTTCTGCTTTGATAACGCTTTGCAACTTGTATTTTGTTATTGTTCATAGATATCTGTGTTTCTTGGAGACTTTTCACTATAGCAGATATCTGTTTGGAGTCCTTTCTACAACTCCACGATGGTGCAATGGGTTAAACCACTGAGCTGTTGAATTTGCTGACTCCAAGGTTGGTGGTTCAAATCTACAGGATGGGGTGAGCTACTGCTATCATCACCAGCTTCTGCCAACCTAGCAGTTCGAAAACATGCAAATAGGTACCACCTCATAGTCCAATAGGTACCATCTCAGCAGGAAGATCAATGGCGTTCCATGCAGTCATACCGGCCACTTGACCCAGGAGGTGTCTATGGACAATGGGGGCTCTTCAACTTAGAAATGGAAATGAGCATCATACCCAGAGTTGGAGACAAGCATCTCTCCCAGAGCTGGAGATGAAAGGGGAAGCCTTTACTTTATCTGTCTATCTGTGTTCAATTGTTTCTAGGCATTGAATGTTTGCTTTTGTGTCTGTATATGCTGGAATCCACCCTGAGTCCCCTTGGAGAGATAGGACAGAATACTAATATGATGTTGTTGTTGTTGTTGTTGTTGTTGTTGTTGTTGTTGTTGTTGTTGTTGTTGTTATATAACTCCACAATTAATTCCTCTGAGGTAAGTGGTTCAAGAGTGATGGGCACATCCAGCTTGATTTGCAAAACCAGGAAGCACGAGACCCTTTTCCTTTTCTGTTTTAGAGACCCATATATGTTTTGTTTATTTCAGAATATTTTCTGACAGCTCTTGGGAAGATCAGAGATTTTTTTATGCCAGCTCTAAAGATCTGTTTATTCAAATCCAGTATAAAATCAAAAAGAATAGGAGCAAGATCTGGGGCTTTTCAATCAGTCTGGATGCATCTGATGTGTCTGGAGTGGTTTAGTTTTATTTATTTATTTATAATTCAAACTTATATGCCGCTACTCCCCCGAGGATCAGAGCGGCTTACAAGAACAGGCTAAAATCTAACACAATTTAAAAACAATTTAAAACAATTTTAAAACAACAATATCCGAGATCAAAGCCCTGTCGAAACAGATATGTCTTATGTGGTAGTAAAGACCCAAAACAGATATATTTTGGGACTTTACTACCTGATTTTGTGTTCTGCTCTTTTTGTTTTGTTTGAAAAAAAAAACTTCATGACTTCAGGAAAACTAGATAACTCCAGGAATTGTGACAGAACTGCCTCATGGTCCAAGGTGAAATGGAGATTTGTTTAAAATGTTTTTTCCCCTCTATATACAATGGCTAATTGATTTTTTTTCTCTTTCCCTTTTTCCCCAACTCTGGATTTGCTGCAGGTGCATAGGTCCGCGCCTTGAGGACTGCATTGGTTTCATGGATAGGTACTTGCCGAGCACTTGCTCCTCTTGCCACACTCCCCATGTTCCATGTGTGGGCAAAGGCGCCTGTGTGTGCATGGCCCCCCTTGTGAATGGTGAATGATATTTTCTGTTCTGTTAATTGCCTGCAGGTGTAGAGGTCCCACTAGTCATGACTGCATTTACTATCCGTGGACACGCCAGTCCACTTTACTACAACATGCTAGGTAACATCTGCCATCCCTGCCTTTTTTTCCCCCTTCCTCTTGTCCTTTCTTTGTTAATACATGAGTAGGGAGTCATGCTAACCAGTGTGGTCAGCTGGAAACTGCTAAGATTTATGTATAGTAATGTCTCTGCAATGTTGTGCAGGGTGGTAATTAAATACACATTCAGTGTGTTAATTAAATACACATAACTGAACATAGGACTGCAATACTGCTTTAAAAGAGACTTTCCCAGTTGGATTCCCAAAACATGGCTTCACTATAGACTAAAATATGGATAATCCTTTAACCCTGTGAGATTTGGCACTGAGGAGGCACTCATGATAGTAAGCCAATGAAAGAAGTATATATTAATTTGTACTGCAAACATTTTCCCATTTAAAAAGTCAACTCTAAGTATTTTAAAGTAGTGTGTTTAGCTGAAAAAATCCAATTGACCTTTCCTAGTCAATTAAAGGAAATTTCATTTCTTTCTGAAAAAGTATTCATAATATATACACGACATGTTTCCAGCAACTGAAACTTGTTAAAATGACCTTCCTAGTTCAAGCATTCTTGTTCTAACACAAAACTTTAATTTAATTTTTCCCCTTTAAATCAACATCATCTCATGTTGTAGTTAGTTTTCTACAGCTTGCCTTTCCTCAAAAAGAAAAAAAAACTTAATAGTCTGTTTCAGAAAATGTTTCCGTGTCTTCAGCTTGGTTGTTTAATTAACACTTTCTGAGCCTATAGATGTGCAGCACTGATGAAATAGTTTGATTCATGTTGCCAAAATGGATATTTGATATAGAATATGCAAAATATTGTATACACTCAAGTATAAGCCTAGTTTTTCATCCCCTTTTTTAGGCTGAAAATATTCCCCTCGGTTTATACTCGAGTCAAGGTTATTTATTATTTTAATCTGTTATTAGTATTTTTAATAACATTTATTTATTTATTTATTTAGAGCTTTTATAACCTGGTCTTCTCAACCTCCGAAGAGGGACTCAGGTTGGCTAACAGCAGAAAATTCATACACACATAGAATAAACATAATAGCATCATAATACATTAATACAAAAATACATTAAAATACAGATCAAACAATTACAAAAGCCAGGTCGTCAGAGTAAAATCACAAATTCATCACCATCCGTCAGTGTGGTCAGCCGTTATTGACTCAATCATCATTCTGCAAATGCTATATTCCAAAGCCAAGATTTTTGGTTGTTGTAGGCTTTTTCGGGCTATATGGCCATGTTCTAGAGGCATTTCTCCTGACGTTTCGCCTGCATCAAGGTGGTCAGTTGAAACATTCACCCCTAGCTCCAGCAGACAAAAGTCCTTTGTCCCACCCTGGTCATTCCACAGATATATAAACCCATTTCCCTACTTCCAACAGACCTCACTACCTCTGAGGATGCTTGCCATAGATGCAGGCGAAACGTCAGGAGAGAATGCCTCTAGAACATGGCCATATAGCCCGAAAAACCTACAACAACCCAGTGATTCCGGCCATGAAAGCCTTCGACAATATATTTATTACATTTATTTTACTCTATTTTTATTGTTATTATTATCTACATTTCTATACCGCTTTTCTCACCCCTTGGGGGACTCAAAGCGGTTTACAACATAATAAATGGCAAATTCAATGCCTCATATATATATTAAAAAAATCACATATCTAAATCAATAACATATAACTGTAGATAAAAACCGTTAAAACTATAAAGACATCAAATATAGACATAAGCATGAAACATATTATTGCAGCAATTAACAATGTAGGCCCCTTCTCTTCTCTCCCCCCCCCCCGACACCCCAACTCTCTCTCCATAGCGTTTCAGCCCTTCTTTTTATCCCCTCCCTGCTTCCCCCTCATCCCAACAGACACAAAGTTGTTTAGGTACAGAATGAAAACAAAATGGGTAGGGTAAAAAAATGTTATTATTACATTTATTGATTTATTATTATTCTTATTATTAAATTTCCATTATTTACTCTATTGTTATTTTTGTTACATGTTGTTACATTTATTATTTTACTCTATCATTATTGGTAAAAGGTAAGCACATTTACATTGAAGAAGGTTAGAAAAATGGTTTAATCAGAGTTGGGCAGTCTTATCTTAAATTACAGTTTTATGTAAATACTCAAAAATGTTTAACCTACTGATGATTACCAGTAGCAGCTACATTTCTCATCCTTGGCTTATGCTTGAGGCAATACATTTTTCCAGATTTTTTATGGTAAAATTGGGTGCCTTAGCTTACATTTGGGTTGCCTTATACTCGATTATATGCGGTAATTTAAGGGACATATTTTGATCCCAAATAGGGATTATACCTTAGGTACTGAAAGGCAGAACAAAGGCATATGGAATTTTTATTTTGAAAACGTGTGTTAGGCAGAGATATAGCAATGAGAAAAAAAAATCATATAACCATAGGATCTTTTCACTTTCGATCAAAGTGGACAGTTGGAGCAGGTGTACAATAAAATTGTCAGGAAAATGAGCAGAATTCTCATCCGGAAATGATTTTTTGATGTAAATTTGGCAGGTTTTGCATCTTCCTCAGATATCTGAATACAGTTCAGAAGTGTGCCAAACATTTTCACAGGGTTGTTGTAGGTTTTTTCGGGCTATATGGCCATGGTCTAGAGGCATTCTCTCCTGACGTTTCGCCTGCATCTATGGCAAGCTTCCTCAGAGGTAGTGAGGTCTGTTGGAACTAGGAAAAGGGGTTTATATATCTGTGGAATGACCAGGGTGGGACAAAGGACTCTTGTCTGCTGGAGCTAGGTGTGAATGTTTCAACTGACCACCTTGATGCAGGCGAAACGTCAAGAGAAATGCCTCTAGAACATGGCCATATAGCCCGAAAAAAACTACAACAACCAAATGTAATAAAAATAATACAGTAAAATAAAGTAAATGTAATACTAATAATAGAGTAAAATTTATGATAGGAAAAAGGGTTTATATATCTGTGGAATGACCAGGGTGAGACAAAGGACTCTTGTCTGCTGGAGCTAGGTGTGAATGTTTCAACTGACCACCTTGATTAGCATATAATGGCCTGACAGTGCCTAGAGCACTTTCACCATACTTTGAAAACATCTGGGATATAACCAGTCTGGGCATTTTTTTAAAAATGTGGTCTTGGGGCTTTTTCGACTTGGGGAAATGACTTGAGTAGAACCATGTGCTGCAAGATTCCCATTCCTGCACTGTATATTTATTTCCTAGCATAGATATACACCCCCTGTTTGGAGACATATGAAACAAATAAGAGTTGGAAATTGGGATTGTGGGTGTAGAGAGCCAAGAAAACAATTGCTTAGACCTGTATTTATTTTTACAGTAGGATTATGTCCCATTGCACAGATTTATGCATTCTTCTGATCAAATATATACAGGATCATGCTGTGAAGATTGTTGGACTGTGCCAGAAATAGTTGGTATCACTGAAAGCAATAGTAATGGCATTTTTGGATCCCAGAAAGTTAAGATCACATCCCCAAAAGATCCCATATTGTTAGAATCACTCTGAGCATATAAATGCTCATTTCAAGCATTCTATAAGACAGTTAACAGTTTGCCTCTAATCACATCATAATTACACACTAATGTATACCACCATATAGATAATAATACATACCATGGCCATGAACAAGTAGCAGCGCAGAGAGCCAGCTGTGAGTCTGTTCTTGCCAAGTGAGAATTCCCCAGCACAGGGCAATTGGCACAAAATGAAATCATCAGCTCTAAAACCAGCACATGGAGCCAAAGCCAAGGAGAACGGCGTCAAGCATGGAAACTGAGCCAGGGTTAGTTGGCAGTACTTCTGTGAGCTGGCAGATGGCTTACAGCCTGCACGCTGTTGTTATCCACCCACCTAGCTGTCTCAAGATTTTGCATTGTGCTTATTGCGGTAATTTCTGAATGATTGTTTTTAATTATATTGGGAAAGAGCTATATTACTTTAATTCTCTGAGAATTATGACAAGGATGCTAGAAGTGAGTTGCATGAACACTGGATAGTGGGGTAGTCTTGGATTTTCAACTACCTTGGATTTCAATGTTTGAAATATTTATCTTACCCCGAGTAAGCTTCTGAACAGTTCTTCTTGCCCTTCCTGAAACAATATGTAAAGTGAAACATATTTATCATTTGACTTAGCACTTTTCCAATTTAGTAGTGGTCCACAGATCAAAAAATAGTTTTTTGGGTTTTTTTGTCGTGTCAGGAGCAACTTGAGAAACTGCAAGTCGCTTCTGGTGTGAGAGAATTGGCCATCTGCAAGGGCGTTGCCCAGTGGAAGCCCAGATGTTTTGATGTTTTCACCATCCTTGTTGGAGGCTTCTCTCATGTCCATACATGAGGAGCTGGAGCTGATAGAGGGAGCTCATCCACACTCTCCCCGGATTCAAACCTGTGACCTGTTGGTCTTCAGTGCTGCCGGCACAGGGGCTTAACCCACTGTGCCACCGGGGGTTCCTAAAATAGTTACCTTAGGGGAAATACATCCAAAAGTACACATATTAGAGAAAATAAACATGTTTACATTAGGAAAATGTGCATGAAAACAAATGCATAGGTTCCTGTGTATTTAAAAAAAAACATTTCTGGATTGAACTGGGGATGAAGCAGAATAGACTTGTAAATTGCAGAATCAAAACTGACATTGTCTGGAAGGGGCAGGTGAGGTCATTCTCTAGTTTTGAGCACTATGAACCCCCTGGAATCCAATTATAGGGAGAATCTTGAATGGCCAAATCAAATTGGAGAAAGGGGGCCACTAATAACACTGATTTGATAACAAAAATTAATCCTAATATTTATGCCACTTTAAACAAATTCCTGACCAGCAGGGACATTTATATGTATTATTTATTTATTTATTTATTTATCGTGTCATCAGCAACCATACCATTGTATTACATTTCTAACAGAACAAAACAAACAAACATATTTTAAAAACCCAGAAATTTTGCAGACTTGGTAGTT